ACCCCCTGGGGGGGGCCCTTTGGACTCTGTCCTATCCTTGGACCTCCGTAGTCGGCTCATGAAATCTGAGTGCTTCTGTCTACGGAACAGCTCCCAAACTACCCTCATCCAGCCCCAACCTCCCCCACGCTCCAGAACGGTCTGTTGGCTGCTGATTGACACCTCCGCTTGAATGTTGACGTGAAACCTCAGATTCGCCGTCTGACATGGAACTTTGTGCAGTGGTGCCCCTCACAGCCTTCTTCTCTTCCCGGTGGCAGCCCTGCCCTTTGCATTGCAGGGTCAGAGAACTCAGCTCTTCTGTGGCTCCTTCTTCCCCACCCCTCGCCTAATCTGCCAGCAAACGCTGGTGGTGCTCCCATCAGAGTATTCCCACTTCACTGCTTCCACCCTGGTCCTAACAGCTTAACGTCTCACCGGGGTTACTGTAAGAGATAGCCTCCACAGGGCCTCCAGCCTGCCCCTCCTCTGCTCAGACCCCTCTCATGGCTCCCTGTCTCACTCTGCGTAAAAGCTAGTGCTCCCACGGTGGCCTCTTCAGCCTCAGCTCCTCCCTCCCCTGCCTCACCTCCAGCTTCTGGAGTCTTCCCCGAACATACCAGGCTCTCTCATGGGCCTCACGCAGCTCCCCTGTCTGGAGTGTTCTTCACCCCAGTGGCCTTTTTTCAGACCTTTGCTCTCTACAACCACCCTATTTAAAATCACAGCTCCTACTCCCTTAGCTCTTTCACCTTCTGTTACATGATTTCCTTATTTATTTTGTCCCTCTTCCACAAGAATGTAAGCTTTGTCAGGGCAGGAAAGGTCTCTTGCTGATGTGTCACCAGTGCCTAAAACAGCGCCTGGCACATAAGCACTCGTCAAATATTTGTTGAATGAATAATGACTTTAAACAATATGTTGCAAGCTTTGATGGTTATTAAACACAACATAGCATTTCATCTGAAATGCATCTGAGAATGATGGAGTTATTACTATTAGCATTTTTCTCTGATTAGTTGATGTATTTGTGAATGACTTTCTGCCAGAAAGAAGGGTTCAGTATCATTTTTCTTTCTTCTTGTTTCTGTAGATGTAGACACTGAGGACTGCTTGTTCAGACAGGCCTGGAAGGGAAGGTATTTTGTTATAGCTATGACATTCCATCCTTGGACTTCAAAGTTAGAGGCCAAAAATATCATATAAGATATTTTGTTGATCTTTTTGCTGATTACTAGATTAGGGTCCTTCTTCCATTTTGTTGAGAGCAGAGAATTGGAACCCACCTGACTTGGAGAAGACTTTCCACACACAGTCGTCCACGTCCCTTAGCATCACGGTTTCCGAGACAGTCACCAAAACCACTTTCCCAAGACCTGTCAACTGACCATTAGTCATACCTGTCTTCACTTAGAAACATCTGTTGTTTGTTCTGAAATTCTCAGTAAGAGTTGAGAATTTTGTGATACTGATTTTGCCATACCTTTACCAGTATAAAAATGTATGCTTTATATTTCCTTAAAAGCTTGAAGCTGTAGATTTAGCTCATTCAGTTTATCAGAATTATCTACCCAGTGCATAAATAGGCAGAACCAGCTCTAATTATCAGCCCAGTCAGCAGTCAGATTCACTCTCAGGAGAAGTCTTACTTATCTCTAAGATGTACCATCAGCCACCTCTCTTCTGAGTTTAATTCCTAGCAGTTAGGTGAGGTATTGGAGCCAGTCACCTGGGTGGAAGAAGGTACCATGCCTGTGGCTTATTGGCTCCTTGTTTGCTTGCTTCTCATGGGGATAATGTGTTATTTTACAGTAGTCTAGGGATTGAAGTTGCTAAATGAAATTTTAATCATCCCTGCCATCAGACTCTATGATGTGTCTGAATTTAAGACATTCTGGTATGAACTGGGATATCTTACTTATTTATCACACCCTACTTGGCCCTTCACAGAACTGGGTGTGGGATAGGGAAAGCACAACGCTGCCATGTGCCTCCATTCAGAGGGCTTTCCTGGGACCTCTGTCCTCTGGGACGTTTGTGCCTTGGGGCAGCGCGTCATGGTAAGAGGAGCACTGGGATGTCAGCCTTCTGCTCCCGGTGGGAGCAGCTGTGACAAGGGAAGGGGAGGGTAGGCCTGCAGGACTTCTGACCTCTTGAGACTGTCAGGCCGCTTCATTTTAGGAGAGAACGCACTTGGACACTGACCACCTAGAAGTGGATTCTCTCGAGGCTGTTTGTACCCACCTACCCCTCGGACAGTTTTCTCCCAGGAGTACCCCTAACCTGGCTGAGAGATAGTAGTGTATGATTCCTGGAAGGCAGGAGGGAGTGGGCTCCAGGATACAAGAGGAGGGAAAGATGGTTGCTGTCTTTGGAACCCTGGGTGACGGGAATAGGCTGGCCCAGTGAGAGCTGGGTGCCAGGAACTTTCCTACTGCATTTCACTGTTGTACTTGAATGCCCAGTTATCTGAGAAGCAGGATGTTTTCAGCCACAGCCGTCACGGGTAGTGACGTGGTGGGCCTGTCCCGGACTTGGATGTGGTGCCCACCGGGTTATGGACGCTCTAGATGACCCCGCTGCCCGCTGGCTCCAGAGCCGCATAGGCCGTCCTCCATCTCCGCCCTGCGAAATGCCAGCTCGGGAGCCGGACCTGGAAGGTGGAGCGGCAAGAACTCTTCCCTGGGGCCTTTTGTTGAGAAAATCACAGGAAACGAGATGCTGTTGAGTTTCCTCTCAGTCCAGTCTGCTCCTCAGCTGCTTTGTAAGTGGGACTGTGGCATTTCTAGGCAAATTCATAACCAAGGTGGATCGGGTCTAAAGGCTACATACCTTAGAAGAGGAAAAACGAAGTACTGGCTCAGGAGCTGATCATCTTTCCTGAAAGACGTAGTTCATGAAATAGAACAAAAATTACAACCGTCTGCTTGCTCTCTCTTTTCAGTGGATTCAGAGATGATATAATTCTAATAATTAGTAATTGAGAGTTTGACTAGGACAGAGGAATATGGTAAAACCAAAACCCCATTAGACCAAATAATAGTTTCTTTGAAACTGGTAGATAGCAGAGTTGAAACTCTATATAATCGTGGCATGGAAAGCCAGCTAGAGAAAAACCACAGCGGTGTGGCAGGATGGAGAGGCTGGAGCACAGCCTTGGGGAGCAAGAAGAGAAGAGAGCAGATGGAACTCTGCACCCGAAGCTGGTGTTCTGGTGGTGCCACATGGTCTACAGAGCCCAGCGCTGGGCCACTCGGCCGCAGTGACTGCTGTGCAACACGGAGCCTCTGGTGAGCAAGGATGTGCTCTGATTATTTTATACCTGAGATGCCACTTGTTTGGAAAGTTCTTGTATCTGGAGGTAAAATTTTTCCCCAAGGTCTTTTCCAAAGACTCGATAGTGTCAGTCACGAATCCAAGTGCACTTGTAAGCACTAGAAATAGACGCATCAGATAGTGGGGAAGGGTAGGGTAATAAAAATTGTGGGATGGGTCAGGCAAGCACGGAGAAAACACACCACCTTATTCCAGATGAGCAGATGAGCCGGTGGGACATACGAAACCACAGGATCACTAAGAGAAAACAGAGAAATCAGGTGTTTCTATAATCTTGGTTGGGAAACATCTTTTTCAGGGTAATACCCAAGACAGAAACCACAGAAAGACTGGCTTTTCAAAAGTGAAAACTAGTTGAACCACAAAACCAAAAGACAAACAGCAGACTAAGAAACATTGTAACAAATATAAAAGGCAAAGGTTAATCTTAAGAGCTTTTTTATATTGTAATTAAAACATGGGTACCTCAGTAATACAAGGATATTTTTGGAACATCAGTCATTAAATGATTCAATATGAAGTAAATTTCAGCCTCACTACTTTTCTTCAGTGTAAAATGAAACAAATAGGGTATTTCTCTTCTGTTGCGCTGGCAGAGAATGAAAACTTTGGGGTCCAGGTAATGTTAGTTTTAACTGCTGGACACCATAAGTGTTGCTGCAATCTCAACTTTTTTAGTGATGATTTATTGGAAACTAACAACTTCCTATTAAATGTTCTTTTTACATAAACAGCTGAGGGAAGCAGTAAGATGTACTACTGCTGATTTGTTCACAATGATAAATATTTGGGGGGAAGTTGAACTTTCATTTTAAAGGTGGTGTTAATTTTGTCAAGTTGTGAAACTCAAGAGTGTTGGGGGAAAGTGTTTCAGGTTCAAGCACCTTCATGGTGGAGCGCCCTCTGCTGGCAGCAGCCCAGGTAGCCTCTACCATGCACCTGCAGGCCCCGCTCACCCCGGCCTGGTCGACCCTAGAAGAGGCTGAGAGGTGGCTGAAGCCATCACAGGAGTTGGGACTGCGCTGTGGGGTCTGACCCAGTGCCGCCCTGACTCCAGACGTCCTCCTGCATGCCCACCAGCCCCCTGCCAGAGGGCCCGCTCTGTTCAGAAGGCTGCAGCCAGCACTCAGCCAGCCAGCCCGAAAGCGTTGCCTGTGCACTGTCTCTGAGGCAAGGATTCCATCTGTATGCTCCACTGCTTGCCCCCCCACCCCCCAACCCTGGAGCACCCCTCGGAACTGACATTCTCACAGGGCCACGGGCAGCAAACAGATGGCCCTACAGCTCAAACAGGATGGTTGCCTATCATGAGATGTGCTTGAAGGGGTCCCGTGGGTGCTGGGGTCCCGTGGGTGCTGGGATGTGAAGTGGGAGGGGGGGCGAGGTGAAAATAGGGTTCCTTGGGCAGGTCCTGGGAGACTGAGGAAGAGGAACCAGTTCCCCAGAAGGGTGCCTACGCCTCCCCGGGGGTGCATGGCTAGTGGGGTGACAGGCCAGCAGGGAACTGATTGGGGTTCATCATTAGAGCAGGGCAGGATTTGGTGAAGTAACAAGGAACCCTGCAGTCCTATTGTTTAACTCTTAATTCTCTGTATTTGTCATATTCTGACATTAGTGTTTGCTTTTTGTTTCCTTTTTTTTTTTTATTTAAAGGATTTTTTTGTTTTGTTTTGTGTTTTCGATAGATGAGGGTTACTACCAGGGTGGAAAATTTCAGTTTGAAACTGAAGTTCCTGATGCGTACAACATGGTGGTGAGTAGCCTGCGTTTGAGCCATTGTTCCCCCTTTGCGTGGCCCAGTGGTGGTCATAGGGCCCTGCACCCCCCCACCCCTCCCCCTGCATTGGGTCCCCCCAGTCCTGGGGCTGAGTACAAAACGGCCGATATTTCTGTGATTAATGTTGCTCGTCGGCAGTATTCAGAGCCTTAGGGGGGAGATGTATTTTTCAACAAGTACTTGTGAGTGCGCTGTGTCGGGCAGTGCACACTGGGGCTACAGCTCAGCCGAGGCTGGCACCTTCGCTGGGAGCTGCCTGTGTGGTTCACACCAGTCTTACTTGTTAAATCCTGGCACTGAGGAAGAAAGCATTTTATTTAAAACTGTGGTTTTGTTTGTGGTATAACACCAGAATTCCCAAGGTGTAGAAAACACGTATTTTAGAATTTTAGAAAAGAGGAATGGCTCATAGTTTTAAACCATAAGTAATGTTGATCTCTCAAAGACCCCACCTAGGTAATAATTATACCAAGTACTGTCACATTCTATCCTTGCTCTTAAGGAACTTACCAGTTAGGAAGGTGAGAAAAAGTGTAGAAAGTTACCCTAAAGTGATAAAAGCCATAAGTAGCAGATAACAGAGATATGGAGCAGTGCCAGGAAATTAATGTACGGGATTCCGAGAAGGAAGGAGAGGGTCACATTGGGAAAATGGTCCAGCCAGTTGAGCTTTTCAGGAGAAATAGGATTGGAGCTGTCCTGACTTGGGTTGACCCTTAACCAGGGGACGGTGGTCTAGGTGACGTCAAAATCCCTGGAACTGTGTTAATAGGTACAGAAGTGAGAACGAGCAGCATGTGTGTGGTGGATTGACCAGGTCAACTTGAAGGAGGAATCGGGGTTGGGGAGAAGTGGGGACAAACGAGAAACTCACATTTGAGTGTTGTTGGGCATTTTCACTTTGGCAGTGAGAAACCAGTGACAGTTCTGAACAGCTCCACAATTTTACATGAGATATATATATATCTATCTCTATAAACATCCCCCTACTGTTTCCCAGCCCTCTCTAGGCCTATCAACTAGGAAAAAAATCTGATGGTAAAATTAAGTCTCTTGTTACCTTGAGCCTGTGGGTACTGGGGACCCCGTGTGCCCCGTTGGTTTGCATGCAGTGACTGTCCTACCAGCTGACAAATGCCCTGAGGCCCCCTGCCCCGGGCCTGGCCCACTACCAGGGCACAGTTCAGTGGCTGTCACACTTTGTTATTTGAAGCCAAACCTTTATCTAAGTAATTGGTTTTTACTAGGCTACTACATTAAAAGTTCTTTCTGAATGTAGTTTATGAGGATGGGAAAGAGTTGGCAATCCAAGAAGAAAAAAATTAATTTCTAAGCAAAGACAGGAAAATGTGCATCTCAGGGCTTTATCTGTCCATCCATCCAGCTCCCTGCTGACTTCCTCTGTTTCCCTAATCACACACTGAGTCTGGCTTGACAGAACACTGGACTCCCTCAGGGGAGACGCAGTTGGAGAGGTTTGGTTGAAGTACAGATGTTTAGAATTCCAGGGGCTAGTTTGATGTTTTCTGGAAACAGCCAGGCATACAGCACTTAAAATTCTGGACCTTTTAGTTGTCTGGACATTTGCCATCTCTAAGGACTCCTCGTTGGAAGAGTGCTAAAGGGTGGTATGTGACACAGTCTTCTCGGAGAGGCAGTGAGTGTTTGAGGAGCAGGATGGTGTGGGGAGGGGCTGCCGAATCTGAGGACCACTGTTTCAGGTACATTAGGTATCATTTAGTGGCAGAGCCTCTCGGTCTCCGTATCGGAAGAGAGCAGAGCATGAGAAGACACCAAGGGAACTGATTTTTGTTGGGAGCTTTTATGTACCGAGTGCCCCCACTCCCTTCCCCTCGTGTCATTCTCCAGTAGTTGCCTGGGGACACGTCAGGAAGTTAGGGCCCAGAGAGGTAGAGTTAGCTTTGCCATAATAAATGGCTCCGTTGCTAAAGCAGGCTCTCGTCCAGTGCTGCCCAGCTCCCTGACGTGCCCTTCCCGCAAACTCAGCGGCCACTTTGTGGGAGAAAATGTTGGTCATCTTGTCTTGCCCCTGTGTGACCTCTTCAAGAAACGGAGAGGTAGGGCACAGAATACACAGGATAGAAAACCACTGAGCCTTGAGGACATGTTTCTTATATTAATTGGTGACTTATGATGGTTTTACATTCTTATGTTTAGTTTCTGTCTCCTTTGGGAGATTTCTGAATGATGCGCTGGTTTGATTTCATCAGGAATGAAACCCATGTTCTCAAGCCAGGGGCACTGAGAGGCCAGCCCCTCTGGGGTGGGCCCAGACCCTGCCCTGCTGCCGTGAGGGCCTCTTCCGCTCTGTGCGCCTGCGGCCCCTGCATGTCCTCTCTGCCTCCATGTCCAGGCTGAGGCCACAGTCTTAACTACCAGGCCGGCGACTGTCGCGAGCTCAGGGCAGGGATTGGGGGGTGACAGCATCCCTGGAAAACCATGTAATGCAGTGCCTAACCGATACAGAGGTATTTGTGTTTACTTTTTTTGTAGTTAGTCTTTGCTTATATAACTCCTTAATGTCTCTTTCCACTAGACTGGGAGTGTCCTACTCACACTGTGTTTCCAGGGCTCTGCGAGAGCACACGGTACGCATTTGTCCAGCGGTTGGCGCGCTCTGCCCCTACAGACGTACGGTGTAGAGAATGAAGCCAGTATCTGAAAATACATAGGTTGCAGGCATTTGGGGCAGAGACGGTGAGAGTAAACTTCAGGCACCTGTGTTTTATTTGGATGAGGAGACAGCCAGCTTTTAGAAGGTTAGCCTGAGAGACCTCCACGGGGCTGTCTTAGGCTCGTTTGCTTTTATGCCGTGACTTTATATGATTTCTGTACTCGGTAAGGACTTTCTAAAAACCCCTGACACTTAACAGCTTCTTCAGTTAAAGTCACTTACTAAGATTGTCATTCTGAAAAACTCCCAGCCACCTAAATAGGTCATTACTTTAGAGTAAATACCTGCCCGGCTCCCCGCCCCTCGCCCCTCGCCCTCGCAGCTAGGGTTCAGAGCCTCCCCCGGCTCTTTGTCCCTTTGTCCCTGAACTTGATCTCACAGCCTCAGGCCTGCCTTGTGGTCCCCGAGACACTGGCTGAAGCTATTTAGTGACGCGAAATAAGCCCTGCAGGGTTCTGTGTCAGACACTGGTTTTTTAAGAACCCCCGTCTCCTGGGAGACAGCACAAGCAGTGAGAGCCAGGGTGGTGACATAGCGCCAGGGGTCCCCGGGTGATCAGGGCGCCCACAGAGGAGGAGCAGGCGCAGTGTGCTGTCACAGTCCCAGAGCCCTGCGATGCCCCCGTGGCATGTTAATCGCGCACCGGTTGGCAGAGACCATGCGCTGAAGCAGGAGAAGGAGACACGGCTTTTCATTCTTTGCCTCCAGTTTCCTCCTGGAAGTAACACCTGTTACGTCCCCCACGCTTCTTTTTTTTTTTAAGATTTTATTTGTTTTTGAGAGAGAGCGGGAGGAGGAGCAGAGAGAGGAGGGATGAGCAGATTCCACGCTGAGTGTGGAGCCCGATGTGGGGCTTGATCTCAGGACCCCGAGATCATGACCTGGGCTGAAACCAAGAGTCGGACGCTCGGTTGACTGAGCCACCCAGGCGCCCCTCCCCTCACATTTTTGATAATGTAACCAAATCAAGAGACATGGCCATGACCAGCCCCAGAAAGGGGGGGGGGGCAGAGATACGACAAGTGAACTGAACCCCCACTCCCCTCTGCCTTGTGTGTAGTGTATGCTTTGTAGGAAATGGGGAAAATGCGGCTCTGCAGAAATGGAATGTTAATCACCTGTTACCTCTCCACCCAGAGATGATCACTGTTTACTTTCTGATGTATGTTATGGGCGACATATAATCGTACATACAAATGGGATCATGCTACACATAGCTTGATAACTTGGGGTTTTTAACACTATAACGTGATGAACAAATGTTCTCATGTCAGTTCACATGAGAACATGTTACATCATCGTTAATAAGAGCACTTCATTATATGCTGCGTCATGGTTTTAAATCAGTCCTTTATTGTTGGTCACTGGTTGACCAGTTTTTGACAGTATGAACCACACTTTCTGTGAGTACTAAATATTTTAGGCTTTGTGAACCACAAATGGTCTCTATCACATATACTTATTTTTCTCCACAAAATAGTTGGGATTTTTTTAAACAGTCTTTTCAAAATGTAGAAACCATACTTAGATCCCTGCAACAGCAGGCCCCGCCTGCATTTGGTGCATAGGCTGTCGGTCGTTGACGGCGGGCATAAGCGGTGCTGTCACGCATGTCCCAGACAGCGGCTGCTGCGCGCCTGCCTCTGTCCTTGGCATAAATCCTCGTGGGGTTACCAGTGTGGAGTAACTGATGCTGATTGTAAGACTCTTCATCAATACTATTAAATTAGTTCCCAGAGAGGTTATGCCAGTGGCTTCCTCACCAGTACTGTCTGAAAAGGCCCCTTTTCTTCACAAAAATGGAATCTTTTGATTTTCTTTTTGCCATTTTGGGAGGAAATAAATGGTATCTAATTGTCATTTGAGTTTTCATTTCCTAAATAAGTAGAATGCTGAATATTTTTTTCCTATTTATTAGCTTTTTATGTTCTTTGTGAGCTGTTATTAGGTCCTGAGCCCTTTTTTCCATTGGTATATTTGTTTTTCTTACAAGAATTCTCAGCTAGAATTTATATGAAACGTTTTCCCTAGTTTTCTTAGTTGTACTCTAAAGATTTTTCTGTTTTTCCCTTGTTTTTTATTGTTTTTATTCTGTAAAACTTCGGGAGGTTTTGCGGGGGGGAGGGGTTTGTTTTGTTTTGCTTCACCACTGTACTAAAATCTACTTTTCTTTCACGAGTTTTTCTTGTTTTGAAATGCTTAAAACAGGCCTTCAGATCCCAAGGTAACTCATCTGCATTTTCTTCAGTGCTCTTATAGTTCTGTATCATTTGTGTTTAATGCATCTGGAGTACAACTCTTAAGTAGGGATCTATGTTTTTCCGGATAGTTATCCAGCTGTACACTGAAGAATCCCTTTTTCCCCATTGGTTTAAACTCCTAGCCTGTGATGGGGCAGGTGGCAATGCCAAGTAGGAGGTGGGACTGGGTGTTTCTTGTCTGTCTTGCTTTAGGGGTAGGGTCAGGTCCACAAGTTCTGTTTGGAAAGTGTGTGTCAGAATCTGGGTCCATAGTTCCAGTTTGTTCTCTTGTCTGGGGACCGCAGTTAAGAGGACCACTGACAAGGGGAGGTGTCTGTGCCAACATCTAACTATGGAAGGTGGGAATGGACAAAGAGGAGAGGGGCAAATACAGTCGGATACTTGGAGATCTAGTGAATGACACTAGGCGGGGTGACAGGTGTGTGTCTGTCAAGGACTCTCTAGAAGGGAGGGAGATAGAGCCTGCAGGTTCCCTCCAATGCCAGGTTGGTGATTCAGTCTACCCAGTATGGAAACTGTATTGTTACTTAGAGAGATTCATACAACCCTGCAATGCCGGCCTTCCCTCAGCCTGAAGGCCTTGCTGGAAATTCATGATGACTAGCATACTTTCTGTCAAATGCATTCCCATTTATTTGCAGGAAACCAAATTAGAGCATATTAAATTGATTGAAACTCACTCTGAACCTAAATTCTGTAACCTTGGACACCTATATTTGCATACTTGGATTAATTATCTGGGGGAGTTTCTTGATGTCATGGTGTTTTAAAATCAGTAGGAAAACTTAAAAGAGTGCTGGAAAGGTATGTTTTGTACAAATAAAATGATGGAATGATTCAAGTACTAGAAAAAGTGCAGTAGAGTATTGGGGTGGTTGGTAACAAAGATAAAAATTTGATTACAAAGACTTTACAAAAGAATAGCATCATAAATGCAAATTAATACTGAATGATAAACGTGGAAAGCGTGGCCCCCCGTAACAAAGGGCTGACATGTGAATGTCTACAAGACGATGTGTCTGTGAGACTCGGCCAGAAGACACTCGTGTGCTCTGACCAGCAGTTCCTCTACCTGGGCTTCCTCCGGGCAGACCTTTCCTACAGATGTGAGCAGAGATGAGCACACTGATTTAGCCCAGTTCGTGGTAGAGGTAGGAGGCAACCTAAATGTCCAGTAATAGGAACTGGCTTGTGAAATGCTAGAATTGTACCACGGAGGGCGAGAAAGCCCAAAGCCATTTGAAGTGGTGACAGAAAGCAATATGAAAAGATAGCACACGTCCCTGCTTCCATAAAGAAAAATGAATGTGCACGCACATGCATCTCTGTGTGGGGCCTAGAAAAGAGGCTCACAAGATGTGTATCGGGTGTTAGAGAATTTCTGGGTGGAATTATCATATATAACAAAAGGAAAGACAGAGGTCTTGCCTTTGGTTGTCGTTGTCTTTTTGTCTTAAATGAGTATGGATTGCTCACTTTAAAAGAACAGCTTCGTCCAAACATGCCTCGTCATAAATGATGTCAGTGTGCCTTACTCAAGCCACATGCTCGTTTTCATTCTCTCTCCCTCCTGTAATCATAAAGCAGACTATGACTTGGATGTAGGACCATGTACATGGCAGTCGCATCTTCAGAAACACGCGCACAGGGACCCAGCTACCGCTGTGAGGAGCGATATCCCTCAACCACAGCTCAACAGCGTAGCACACAGCATAGTGTCTGCGGGCTCCCGGTTTGAATGGGGCCTGCAGCGCACCGTGGGCTCCACAGCCATGGCAGGGAGGGTCAGAGGGGGCTGAGGCCCCGCCACCAGCCCCACTCACCCTCCGGCCCTGGGACTTGTAGAAGGGTCGTGTTGGGGGTCCGGGCAGACTAGCACTTGTGGATGCAGTGTGAAGACACTCCTGAACAGGTGACAGGAGTCCAAAATTGAACACTGGTTGGGGCCAGTCTGACCGAGTGCCAACGAAGCAGTGGAACGAGGGGCTAGCTGGGTCTGTGGCAGTAGGCGTGATTTGGAGAGTCTTTTTCTCTCTGTGTTACAGCCTCCCAAAGTGAAATGCCTGACGAGGATCTGGCACCCCAACATCACAGAGACAGGCGAAATATGTCTAAGGTGGGTTTCTCTTCTTTCCTGGCTTCTGTGTTTGTGAGCACTGTGTGTGAGCATTGGGCTTTCTAACACATATTCTCCACTGAGAGGAAATTTTGAGGCTGGACCACGTTTAGGGAGGTTTGGGAAACGACCCTCAGAGCTGTGGGCCGCACTCCAGTGACTGGAAGGTCTCCCACCCCCACCCCACCCCCAGCCTGCCTCCACCTCCAGACCCAAGTCCTGGGCACTCCGGTGGCCAAGACCCCTGCTGGTGCTCCCTCCAGGCCTCCTCACCCTTTTCCACTCCTGTTGTAATGAAAGGCTGCAATCCTTCCATGTGGCTGATTTTAGCTAAGAAGGAAAAGTAGGATTTATAAAATTGGGGGTGGGGGCGTGTAGATGGCAAGTTTAAGACCTGGGCATTTGTATTTAAGATGTCCTCTTTTTACCAAAAGTCTTGATGTGCGTAGAGCAGGACAGTTTTCCGAGAGCTTCATGTCAGTTGTGGCCTGTGTGTCGTCCCCCCCTTCCAGTGGCAGATGATCGGGGATCTGCTACTCCCCGCTTCTCAAGGCTGCTGGTCACTAATGTAGGGAACTGGAGAAGGTGTGTGGTTTGTTGTTTTTAAGTAAATTTAGTACTTGGGCTTTATCTTCCTGCGTTTCGTCACTTTTTCTACTGAGGCGACAGTGCGGTTGCAGGGCTCTGGGGCCAGACTGCCTGGGCTGGAACCCTGCGCGTCCACCAGCAGTGGGTGACTTTGCCGGGTTATGTAACCTTCAGCCACAGCGCAGAGGGTAGGCATTAGCATTAGCACCTTGTTCTGCTTTCTTCCTGTGATTAAGTCAGTGTCGTGTCGTGTCCCGTCCCCGCCCTGGCAACACCAGCCCCTGCCTGTGATGCCCGACGTGCTGGCGTAGCTGGACCCCTCTTGCTCTGTCTTCCCCCGCCCCCTCCTCCTCCTCTTTCTCTTCTTCTGCGTTTATATATTTATTGAGAGAGCACACAAGCTGGGAGAGGAGCAGAGGGAGAGCAACAAGCGAGCTACCCAGTGAGCCCCGAGCCCCATGTTGGGCTCGATCCCAGGACCAAGATCATGACCTGATCTGAAATCAAGAGTTGGATGCTTAACGGACTGCGCCCCCCTAGGCGCCTTGTCTTCCTTCTTAAAAGCACAGTTGGCATCCAGCTCTCAGTGCAGCTTGTGTGCAGTGTCCCCTGTTGTCTCCTACCCGCCTCCTTTTCTGCAGACGGTTACAGATGCATTTACAAGAGGCCACCTTTTCCCCATCCGTCCTTTAAGTATCACACTTACAAAATCGAACTCCTCCAGCTTCAGGCTGTAGATGGTGTCCACTTCAGCCTTCTCCCCTCAGGCCACTGCTGGTGCTTGCTGTCCTGGGAGTCCACCGCACGCCACCTCCCTGTCATACCCTGTCCTCCACCAGAACTAATGCCAGGGCAGGAATTTCTCTTATCACTTTTGCTGTCTTCTGAGAAATCAGATTATTAGCAAAGTGTGAGGAGAACTCAGCGGGCGGCAGCCAGGAACAAAAACCAGAAACCTTAAAGGAAAATCATTGATAGATTTAGCCACATTAAAATTAAAAATACAAAACATAAAAGTGAGAGAGAAAAGATCAGGGTTACATCCTTCATGTGTAAAAGGTTTTTGCCAGGGGCGCCTGGGTGGCTCAGTCGTTAAGCGTCTGCCTTCGGCTCAGGTCATGATCCCAGGGTCCTGGGATCGAGCCCCGCGTCGGGCTCCCTGCTCAACGGGGATTCTGCTTCTCCCTCTCCCACACCCCCTGCTTGTGTTCCCTCTCTCATTGTGTCTCTGTCAAATAAATAAAATCTTTTTAAAGAAAAAGGTTTTTGCCAATTAGGATGAAAAAGACAGACACACCCACTAGGAAAACCAAGCACCTGCTACAAGTAGTGACTCATAGGACAGTTACAGGTGGGTGGTAAGCACCTGAGGGATGTTTGGTCTCGGCAGTAGCCAGAGAGAGGCTCATGGAAACAATGAGATGCCGCTCACCACTCCTCACATTGCCCAGTGCAAAAGCAAATACCCACGGGGGGGGGTGGGAGGGTAAGAGAGAAAGAAGGGAGAGAGAGAAAGGGAAGGAACAGGCTCTCTCACATCATGGGAGATATACCTATGTTGGTCCTTCAGCTATAAGGTCTACATTTAACTTGTATTTACCCTTGGATTTGTCAGCTGCACTTGTAGGGGTTTATTTGTGGGAAATAATGTGCCAGATTAAAGTGCAAAGACCTCCTCATTGTTTTGGAAAAAGCCAGACAGTGTCCAGCAGGGGCTTAGTGTACCACTGACTCATGGCACCTCCTGAATAAAGAGAAAGACGAGCCTGGGCCAGCCACTCCTGGTGTGCGGTGACCGCCAGGTAGCATCTACCTGGATTCCTCACTCAGCAGCTCTGACCGGTGCCTGGTGCTCTGTGGGGCCTTGTCTAGTACACAGGGCACTCACCTCTCTTTGTGAGGCTTGCTCTGCTCCCACCAGGGGCCCTCGCCTGCTTTTGGCTCAGGGTTAGAGGTGAGAGGGGCCTTGTCTGTGGGATTAGAGGGCTCTGGGCCAGGACCCTAGTGGTTGCACTTGAGACTTCTTCTGGGGCCCATGATTCCAGTGTAGCCCCTGAGGCACCCTCTCTGATCCCTTGCCTGGGACCCTCTGAGGGCCTGCCACCTGTTGAGACTGGGCTAGAACTTGCACGGTGACAGTGTGTTCCCTCCATAGTGTCACTCTGCCCAGACCTGTGGCCTGCAGACCTGGGTACAGCCTGCCTGATGATGGGCACCACCACCACCCCCCCTCATCTGCCATTGCCCTGGGTGGGCACAGCTGGCCTCCAGGTTCAGAGCCCTCCTTCTCTGGCTGTGCTGTTGACAGGGGTCAGAGGATACCACCTGCTCAGCCAGTGAAGCTGCCCCCGCCCCATCAGCTAATGGTGGTCGAGCCCAGACGCAGTGGGAGCAGTTGGTATTCTTGGCTTTGTGGGGCTTGCCGGCTGCTGGGGAGACAGGCACTGAACGAGTGAACAGGTCGATGGCCGAGGATTGTGATGAGGTCTGTCAGAGAAAAGGACAAGACAATCCGAACGGATTCCTGTCCCCGCCTCAGTGAGGAGACCTCTCACTGGGTCATACAGACCTCCGGGACCTGGCACAGGGTTCCCGAACGGTTACTTCAAAGTTGCAGAGCTTTCCTGTCAACAAGGCCTGGGCCTCTGCAGGGTGGAGACGTCGGTTTCTTCTTTCTTGTTTTCTTTTTAAGGCTCAAAGTAAGTGGTAGTGGTTAATTTAAGGTTTTACTTATTCTAACTGATCTTCATGGGCGATTAAGATTATAGGATATTTAAAAAAAAAAAGATTATAGGATATTTATATTTTCTCCTGATCGTAATTGACTTACGGGAATTTGAACATGCTCTGATCCAGAACTTCTCTTCACAGTAACAGTTAAGGTGCAGAGAGCCTGATGCTGCCGTGTGAGCTTAGGAACTGTTAGGTACACATCAAAGCAGTAGCAAGGTACAGCTCAGCAATGCCACACTGATTTTTCCCCAGAAGGAAACTTGGCAATAAATTGTAGTTTTTCCAAGTGTGGAATAATCATTTCTGTGAAGGGTATGTAATGTGCATGTGCAGCTGGTGGAACAGGGATGGAAGTGACCCTCGGTCCAGCTTAGGAAATAGGGCCTCACAGTACCTCCAAAGTGCACGCACACCTTCTCTGAGCATGGCCCTCCCACCCACTGGTGAGGACCATCCAGAATTTTGTGTTAATCTGCCTTTATCCTTCATTTTTCCCTTTTGAACTTTTTTTACAAAACAAAAACAAGGTATTAGAATGTGTGCTAGGAGCTGTCATCCGTGTTCACCTGCATCTCTGAGCAAACTGCCCAGGTTTGAAGGACTGTCCCCCAGGCCCGTGCCCTTGCTGCTCTGTGCCTTGTTTTCTTTCCTGCATTAGACAGAGAGACGGCAGCACCTCCTTCGTGGGTCGTTGAGGCATTAAGTGAGGTTAGGATCATGCTGAAACACATAGGAAGCTCTAAGCATCAGTTGTCATTTTCTGAATATCAAGTTGACAAGTGCTCTTTGTATGTTATTTTAACCATACTTTCTTCCTGCTTAAAACTTCCTGTGCATGCAGGATTAAAGACCTGGGTGTACAAGCAATAAACATGGCACAACAGATGAGAATTGGGGGTAGAGATGGCCTCCTGCAGGGAGACGGGCCTGCGAGGCACCAGGGGAGAGGTGGGGCCTGGGGAAAGCAGATGTCCTGAAGAGGAGACGTGGGCCCAGAGGGCTTGGCGGCAGCGGCTTAGCACACCTGCAGCTCCTGTGACTGGAGGCTGCCCTTGCTGACCGCTGTGCCTTTCTGTCTGTTTCAGTTTACTGAGAGAACATTCGATTGACGGCACCGGCTGGGCTCCCACAAGGACATTAAAGGTAGAGTGCAGTGCGCTTGAGCACAGCCCCGGCCTGGAGGCCTGTCCCTCTGGGAACCAGTCTCCTTGCTGTCCTGTCCACCCACGTGGCCGGGCACACCCTGCCCCCACCTGCCCACCAGGGGCTGCTCGGCCAAGCACTTGCCCCGGTCAGTTCCTCTGCCCCCAGTTCATTTCAGGGCAGTGGGGGTTCCAGTTATCTTCACTCCCCTCGGCGCTTTACATTTGTGCTTCAGGTCATGTAGTTTCTCCTCTTCCCTTCCTCTGTCCCCCAGTCTTGTGTGGTGCCTCACTCTCCGAGGAGACAAGAGCTGCCAGGGTGGGGAGAGGGCAGGAGGGAGAGGGCAGATGTGGCCTCCGTCTGCTCTGAGTTACCCGGAGCTAGCCTGGACAACTGAAGGGTGGCAGCCCAGACAGGTATGCCCTGAGGGAGGACCCCACCCAGGGGAGGGCGATGGAGAGGGGAGCCACTGGGACTAAACAGGTGGCTCCAGTTGCTTCTGCAGTGTAGGCTCTAGTTGGGTCTGGGGGCGCACATTACGGGCGCTGCATGAGGCCGCCAGCTGTGGCTTCAACTCAGGGCATTTCTGCTGTGGTGTCCGTGGGACACCTACAGTTTCCTTCTGTTGCCTGAGCTTTTCGTCAGAAGCAGCCAGGACTCCTGGCTAGTGTTCGCTTTGTGGTGACCAGCTGCCTGACTCCTGCCATCGTTTCTCACGGGTAACGAAGCAGTCCATGCAGTCATCAGAGCCTTTGCCCTTCTCGTGCTGGGTCCACGCTGCCCAGAAAGCGCCCTCCCGGTCCTGGGCTCAGAGGGCGGCTGGGTTCCCAGCCTGCGCTTCTCCCCAGCCCGGGACTCGGCACAAAGGCGTGCTCATCCAGACCCGGCCCGTGTTCCCTGGTGACAGGGTCCTCCTCTTCGCTCACGGTTGTGCCAGGTCAACCTGGAAGGTGTCAAAGCAGCGAGTCTGTGACGCTCGCAGACTGCCTGGCACATCGCGCGGTGCCATCTTCCTCTCTGTCCCCCTCTCCATCTCTGTCTCTGTCTCAAGAGCAACATTTTTGCACATGTGTTCACTTTGGCTTGGTCCTGCATGGATTACAACAGTCACCCTAACTAAAGCCATTTGTAAGTCGGACTCTGCACCAAACACACGGAACATAAGCATGGCTGGTACTGGAGATGCTGCATCGGATGCTGTCCTTTGGGCCGCAAGGGGAAACCTGAGCGGAACTGAACAGGCCTGGGCCCGCCTGCACAGTGCCGGGTTTTCTCTCCCCGCCGTCCTTCACAGTTTAACGCTGTAGGTCCTGCCTTTGAAAAGAGCTTCTGCAGATAAACTGACCTCATCCCTTACATGCCAGCTTCCTGGTTCACCTCTTAGAGACCGTCCTCACTCCCACTCCCTGCTCTTAGAGGAGGACGCTGAGGCCCGGAGAGGCATGCATGGGTCACAGCGGCCCGCCGGTGACTGCACTGGTTCTGGGCCAGGTCTGGTTCTGTACGTGACCACACCTCATGGGCGACTGCTGCAAGCTCTGGTGTGTAGGCCCTGTCGTTGGGTATCTCCAAGGGGGCACTTTGGGAGAAGAATACAGGGAAGGTGTTGGGGCCCTCCCCCAGAGTCAGAGGACACTGCAGACCTACAGGCCTGACTGGATCCTCCCAAGGTGTGGTCTCTACTGCCATGGCGAGCCCGGCCTGTCGTCTTGCCACACCCTGGACGTGTCCTGCCCACTTCGGACTTAGCTTCGGCACAGGGGTCCCTCTACCTGGAAGGTGCTCCCTCCTGTCGTCCTTCTACCCGGCAGGCCCTACTTTCTCTGGGAAGCCTCTCCTCCCTGCTGGGTCCTCTGTGGGAACACTTCTGTGGGAGTTCTGCTGACATGCCTGTCTGTCCGACCTCTCCACCAGACAAAGAACATGTGTATACTGCCAGCTCCAGCCCCAGGTTCAGCTCACCCCAGAAGGACACGGTTGGATGGCTGGGACAAAGCAGAGGTGGCGATTAAAATTGCCAGCTAGGAGAGTATCAGCCTAAGAAAGACAAGACTTGAGCTGAGGACGAGGAATGCTGAGAGCGAATTGGTGGTTGAGTCACAGATGACAAGTCAGTCCAGAGAGAACACACTGGTTTTCCATTTTACTTTCATGAGAATTTCTGATCTTTGAATGTTAGATAGGAAGTGTTTATCAGTCTTCCACTTTTTTTTTTTTAAAGTAATTAGAGCAAAATTGTTAGAGGCCTGTGGGATGTGGGTAATTAGCTTATCTGCAGTCCCCAAGAGGACACAGATGCAGAGACAACAGATTTTGTTGTAAAGATGACTCTTCGGAAGTCCCGAACTGTATGGGAAGATGACAAGGAGGAGTGATGTAAGGTGGGGCGGCCCTGAGCAGATACAGCCCGTGGGCTCCTTGGGCTGGGTCTCGAGGGCACTTTATGTTGTCCTTCATTCGGAATTTACTACCTGTGACTGCTCATCTCCCAATTTCCCAGAGCCTGTTCTCATATTGGAGAGAAGTGGTTTTAAGTTTCTGTCTTAGGGAAAACAGCATGCTAAAGATAAATTCTGACCTGGTACAGTACATACTTCTTGGTCATGGGTTTGAAACACTAAATGCATAGGAGCCTGAAACTTGTTTTCTTCTTTCTTTCTCATTCCAGGATGTTGTTTGGGGATTAAACTCTTTGTTTACTGTAAGTATATTGACCAGAATCCCAAGTTTTTCTTGAGTCCTCTGACTACTGGTTTTAAACATCACATTAAGGGTAACCTAGAGGGATTAAAAACAGCACCCTGTACACGCTGAACTCCTCCTTTCTGTCAGATTTATATGAGGCAGAGGAACAGTGAGACGGGAACTGCGGGGGGGGGGCTTTGGGCTGGCACATGGGGAGGCCATCAGGGACGGGAGGGCTGGGGCAGAGGCTGTTCGTTGGCTGCAGCCTCCTTCACGTGGGTGGCTCTTCCTCTGGGGGCACCTGGCCCGGCCCCGCTCCGTGTCTGCCCTCGCTAGCAGCCATCTGCCCTCCCAGGTGTCCTGGTTTGGGTGAAGGAGTGTGTGCTCATCTGACCTCTAGGCTTTTCAGAAACCCAGAACCCTAGAACCATTTTCTCCTCAGTGACGAGCTGCCGAAGTTTGCTGTCCGCAGAAAACAGCATATCACAGGCAGGGGCTGGAGGGCAGAGGGAGACACGGGGTGAAGCTAAAAGCTGCTATTTGGATTTTTTTAATACAATATTAGTCTTTTGAGTTTTTGCTTTTTGATCATAAAAGAGCTTTAAAAGAAATAAGCTTCAGGGATCTGTCTGTGGGGTAGGGTGGGGACCTGTGCTACTTTTGATGAAACTTGGCCCTCCATGAAAAGGAGCCCACCCTGGCCAGCCCACAGGACGGCAGGTCATTGGAGGGGCAGCTTCCTGGCCCACAGCAGGCGTGCTGACACGGCACCGGCACCCGGGGCCAGGCTGCTGTCCGAGGTCACAGTGCGCTTGCTCTTATTGGCAGCAAAATAAAAAGCAGCAGAGCCTCAAAATTAGACCCCCAGGGCCCTGCCTCCCTCTGCCTTCTCATCTGTTGTCCCAGGTGAGCCCTGTAGCACAAGCAGCAAGCCCAGCACTTCTGGCTTCAGACCTTCCCTTCACCCCCCAGGGAAGGTAGTGCCATCGTTTTGTTGTGATCGTGGTTTGGCTTTTTCATGGATGTGCATGGTTTTACTTTTAAAGGAGCTGTGAAGGCTGCAGCGTGATTAAAATCTGCCCAGCAGTTCATGCTTCTTTTTCATTGATTTTAGCCTTTCATCTGGTGTAGTCCCCGTCTCACCAGTGTTCCAGATTCTAGAGGGCCAACCAGAATTGCTGATTAAGCCTCTAAGGGTTATTCCAGCCAATATATTCATTTTAGGTCAGATATATGGTAAGGAAAATAAAGAACTTTGTGTGTCTGGTGGTCTTTATATGCACTGGGTATCTCATCTATGTGCTTCATATTTTTGCCTGTTTCTAGGACTTGAAGTCTAATTGTTCAACTTTACAAGTGATCATAGAGACTTAAGAATTTTCCTTGCTGTATTTGTAACATATCGGTCATACCCCATATTTATTTCCAAATCAGAAATACAGTCCCCAAATTTAACATTTCTCCTGAGGAGAAGTACAGTTGTCTTTACAGTGACCATCAGTGACTCTGGAAAGCAATGACTTCTCATAGCCAGTATAAAGATACGGCATGGCTTCCGATTTGAATTCCATGGTGTTTCTTGTGGGGAGAGGGGAGTAGGCATTCCAGGGTTTTCTTTTTAAGATTTTATTTTTTTTTTAAGTGATCTCTACACCCAACATGGGGCTCAAACTCACAACCCCGAGATCAAGAGTTGCAGGCTCCAAGGACTGAGCCAGCAAGGCGCCCCCCACCGCCCATCCCCGGGTTTTCTAAGGTAGAAAGGCCTGGGGGACAGGGTCCTCCTGGCACTGTCTGCTCAGGCTCCAAGCGCCATCCCTGCTGGGTATGAGTGCAGTGCTGTGAAGGGGAATAACAAAATGTAAAGAGAAGATCTAGTGAAGGTCAGCACGGAAACCAGAGACTTAGAGAGGCAAAGATGTTCATCACAAATTAAAAGAAGAAATGAATTTCTAAGGAAAAAAGAATGGGATTTTTATTTGGAAATGCTCATAATGAGAGTGGTTCTTTATCAAAAATAGCATTAGAACTTAACGTGATCACTAACATCCATTTTCACCGAACTTTGGACAGTTGTATGTAAATATCATGATCTTTCAGTCAGCTGTTCACTAACATTGAGAAAACACCCACACAGACTGTGCGCTTCTACCCCAGAACTGTGATCCGTAAGAGAATCTCTACTCTCTAGCTTCTCCCATTTGCTGATTAGAGTTCTGTCATCTGGCTCATAAAATGAAGACTTGTGACAGCAGAAAAACACATTCTTTCCATTGTTTACTTTGAGTTTCTCTCTTTTTAAGGATCTTTTGAATTTTGATGATCCGCTGAATATTGAAGCTGCAGAACATCATTTGAGGGACAAGGTAAGCTAATGGTAGCGTTTGAGGTGGATGGGTTTGGTAAAAAGATGATTACAAGCTCTTGCTCAGATAAATACGAGGCTGAGAATGGTGGGTCCACACCTGGAATTGAAAGTGGTTGGTAAGTAATGTGTTGTGATAAATGTGAGTAGTCTCAGTTAAGTATTTGACCCAAGGTCAGACACAAATGTTTCTATTAGATGCAATTTCTTAGTAGAATTCAATCTGAGGGATTTAAAACAGGCCAGTGTTACTTTGCCTTAACAACAGTATGGGGATACAGCATTCACACCCCCAGGTCCTTCCAGTGTGCCTGTGCACTCACATGCCCATTGGGTTTCTGTCCAAAATAATGGGATCCTGTTGTTTATTATTAATTCTCAGTTTTTTGTTTTTGTTTTGGTGTTTGTTTTTAACTTTTTAGTGGCTCTACCATACTTTTTTCAACCATTCTCTGAGTGGTCGGCACTCAGGTTTTCCCCATGGGTTTTTTTTTTTCTTCCAACTACAAATGATAATGCAATAAATATCCCTTTTATATACAGCCTTAAAGGTGCATGAACAAGGTGTTAGGAGGTGGAGCAGCAGTCTGGGAGTCTGGGATCAGAACAAGGCTGTTCGAGGTGGTGTAGCTTCACTTGGAGCCAGGCTAGTTAGCCAGTTAGGCCTCAGCAGACAGCCCTGCAGAGCTAACCTGGTTTAGTCATAGAGCCTCAAGTTTCATTTTCTGAACCCTGTTCCTGTGAATCCTCACCACCCCAGAAATCAGCCACCCAAGGCTGTTACCCAACACCTCACTTGAATCTGTAAAGTTCTAAATGCCATCGACCTGGTTCTAAATATCCTGCTGAAGAGCAGGTGCTTGTGTTTATGTGAAACCTGCTGTGTGCCAGGGTGGGGGGCATTTTAAATGTGTTGTGTGTGATGTTTACTGCAACCACAGAGTGGGCACTGGGAGAGCTGCATCACCTGGCACGTTCCCCGGCTCACAAAACCATGCGGGAGGCACAGCAGGGACCAGTGAGCTGTACGGTGGGACTGCAGGGTCAGTGGGTGCTTCTGGTCAGGCAGAGGAGGCTGGTAGCAGCAGAGGTCTTCAGCAGATGCACCCTCGGCTGCTCTCACAGCATCTCCCGCCCACCCGCAGCAGTCAGCCCCCTGCACCATGCCGCAGAGCCTTGGTTTGTCCACTGCGATGACAAGCCCCTGTGGGTGTGCTCCTGCCCACCCCCCCCCCGGCTCCTGCCCCACCCCTTTCCAGGCAGCTCCATTCATGCTGCAACTCCACCTGTCACTGTCCCTGACATGGACTTCCCGCTGAGCACTGTGTCTTGTAAGCCGAGTCAGGGAAAGAAATCGATGATGGGTGCACTCTTACACGGCCAGGTGGAGAAAGACCTGTTATAAATTGTCTATCCTTTTATTTTTCTTCAAAGTTTGCTTCCTGCTCTTTGTACGAAATAAGGGGAAGACTTGCATTTATAAACTGTTAGCCCCAGTAAGATGGACCTAAAATCCTCCAGATAGTGATGCCTCCACATGAATTCTAAGAAGTGCCCCAGCCCCACCCCAGTCCTCATGCTGAGTCATGATGACAGTTACTGAACTTTCTCCTTACTTTATTTCGTGCTCATTGTTCATCCCAAGTTTGACTGGGGCCACTTAAGTGCCAGGTGAGGTGCTAATGCTCAGGATAGAGTGATGAACAGATAGTCCCTGTCCCCATGGAGCGGCCATGCTAGTGGGCGGAGGCGGAGCACAGATTAGCAAACATTACTGGGCGGGCGGGGGCCAGTGATGGGTCTTGCTGTTTTATGTCGGGTGCTCAGATAAGGCCTTTCTGACAAGATGTGAGTAGAGATCTGATGTGAACCAAATGGATAGCGGGCAAGAGTATTCTGGAGAGTATTACAGTGGTGCAAAGGCCCTGAGGTGGGAATGTGCTCAGGGTATGGAGGGAGGAGTACGGAGGCCGGCGTGACTAGAGCTGGGGTGCAGGACAGCGGTGATGTGAGGGCAGCAGCAGCCTCCGGCGGCCCTCCCAGGCCCTGCCCCACCCACTTCCCAGAGTACATTTATTCTCCTGACATCTCCACAAGGGAGGGACTCTTACCATCCCTGATCTGCTGCTGAGGAGGCAGAGCTACCATGGAAGGAAGAGACTTGCCAGGAAGGGGCAGAGCCCAAGATGTGAACCCAGGCAAGCATTCTGGCCCCAGAGTCTGTGGTCTTCATGTGGGCTCTGCTCTGTGGGCCCTCAGGCAGAGGAGGGAACCTGAGCACAGAGGTCTTCTGGGGGCCGTGGGCCCTGGGCTTCGTCCGGGGCCAGGACAGAGCAAAGGGGGTGAGACTGAGCACCTGGGGGCAGGACGGGGCAGCAGTGCCTGTGGGATCTTCATATCTTGTGGCCACAGGCTCCCTCGCAGCTGACGGTACTGTTGGCTTCTGGGTACTGTGGAAATGGCCAAGTCAGGGCTCGTGGGGGCCTCTGAATGCAGTCCTGTCCGCAAGCACAGGCTCAGCAGCTCTCCGCTCCCTCACCTGAGATGGCAAGCAAGCCACCAAACCATTTTCACACCTTAAAACCAGGAACCCACCCTGACCTTGGAAGGGTTACCACGTGAATTAAGTGTGGCAGACAGGGAGGCCAGCTCCATGCACCGCCCCCTTCTAGGCGCCACTCCAGGCAAGGACTGGCCACAGGGGCTCTGCTGTGCTCTGCACGGTGTGGCCCATGGTGGTACCTGTCACGTGATGGGACTGAAGCAGTGTGACCCCATGGCTGTCAGTGACCTAGCATCTGTGTTGTAGGAGTAAGAGGGTTGAGTTCCACCTGTCAGATCACAGTGTCCTGAACACTGAATGCATGTGTTCTGAGGTGGGCAAGCTCCAAGTCCCTCATGGCACATGTGGCCCTTGCCCAGTCCTGCAGGGCCAAGGAACTTCGGTCCTAATGTTAGAACAGACCTGAGGGGCACACCTGCAGCACTTTCCTGCCCATTCTGGCCTGGAGACACCAAGGGCCACACTACCTCTTTTCACCAGAGGAATCAGGCCGGGTGCCCAGGTGGCCTCTGCTTGATGCCTGGGTGGGGAGCTCTGCAGCAAGCCCACTGCTTCTGGGCAAGGTAGTCACTCAGGTGGTGGGCTGCACTTGCACCATGAAAAGTGAGCACCTTTTAAATAGGCAGCAGGGTCTGGGGGGTTGTTTTAGGAAGACAGATCTGGACACGGGTCTTCGGAGAACAGCAGCTCTGACTTATCTCCAGTTGAGGTCAGGAGCCCTGTCCTGACCTACGTTGCCACCTTGAGCACTCTGGGCCTCACTCTTTCCATCTGCAAAATGAAGGGTCTTAGGTTCCCTTCTACTCAGTTCTTCTGTGTTTGGGTCCCCACCCCCAGCCCTCCCGGCACAGTGGCCCCGTGTGCTGCACACAGTGGACACCTGGAGTGGTAGGGAGCGGGTGCTCTGCTCCTTGGGCCTCTGACTGTCCTGCAGCCGTGGCGGCTGAGGCAGGAGGTGGTTGGAGGCCAGGTCCTTCGTGTTGCTCTCGAGAGCTCACAGTGGCTCCTCGGCTCGGGTGGGTCCCACTTGTTCTGGAAGTGTTTCCCTCGCTAACTCGCTCCCCCTTCTTCTCTCCTTGATCCCTCTCGCTCCACAGGAGGACTTCCGGAATAAAGTGGAAGACTACATTAAGCGTTATGCCAGATGATAGGAGGAGGAGACGGTGGGGCTGCGGACTGTGTGTTGTAGGCTTGTCTCCAACCTCAACCAAGAGGGAGCCCCCCTCCCCAGTCCTCGCTCCCCTCAGACCCACAGGGTCATCCACATCCTGTGACCATGCTGTCCCGAGGAAGAACCTCTTCACGGCTGCCCATTGTAGATGGAGAGTCCCACATAAATACAGCAAGAAAATGTGTTTGGGGTTCTAAAGAGTTGTCTGCTTCCCTTAACATGTTTACTTTTTGGAAACTGTACTGTATAGGCTATTGATGAGATTCCTGAGAAGTTGTAATGAACTCAGAATTGAGGCTAGCGCTTGCTTCTTCCCCTTTTCCCAAACAAAATCCTTCCCCGCACAAGTGATGCTGATGATGTGCTCAGTGTAGCTCGCAGAGGAGCGATAAGAAACCCGCTACATACTGTGATTGGATGCCAATTCTCTTATCTCCTCACACGGATGTTGGCCCTGCCTAGATGTCGTGAAGCTTCCCAGAATGCGTAGTCATTCACTGTAGATCTCTTACTGAAATGCGTATTTTATTTAATGTAAGTATATTTTGGAACAGATTTGTAATTTGTACAATTTAATGCTTTAATTATTTTTTTCTATTCTCATTTAGTTTGTATTTTCATTGTATAGAGCAGACAGAAAGATGTTGGGTCAAGCAACTATTGAAGAGAAATACAAAGAAAACATGAAAGACACATTATTCCTTCTGTCCAAATGAAACAAGAATTTGGCTTTTAAAAAAATCAGCTCTTGATTTTGGGTCCAGATGGGGCAAGGAAGTTTTGGAACCCTTAAGCTAGATCTGGATGATTTTTGAAAAAGAAAAAGGAAAGAAAAAAGGCAGGGAACCCTTTCTCACATACTGCCCAGAGGAAACTGGCTGATGCCCAGAGCAGCCGGGGGCTTGGTGTTTCCACAGCAGTCTTGTGGTTGTGAGCCAGTGGGCAGTGCCAGAGAGCCAGACCCTCGTGTCCTGAGGGACAGGACAGATCCCTCGGGAATCAGCCCACCAATGTCTGATGTCACTGAGACCGTACCTGTGGCCTTCTGAGTCTGCTGCGGTTCAGGCCGTCTGGGGGGCGCCTCCTAGGCTGTGGAGGGCCAGGAATCAGCAGCAGCACATAGGCATATTCGGTCAGGCCAGTGCACTTCTGAGTAAGAACACTAAGGAGGCAGATGGATTTATTCCAGCCATTTAGACATCTGAATGAGTGAAATCAAATGCAAAATAAATGTTTGTATGGTTTTCACCTGCTGCCTGCCCGGCACACTCAAGTTTAACTGACAGCCTCCTTTGACCTCTGGATCCCCCCGTCTTCCATCTACCCAATCTGGATTGTTGTTCTTAATTTATAATACAATCTCTGACTATGAGATCAGTCTTCCTGGAGATCGGCAGGGAAGGAATGTAGACCATGCTTCCCATTTGTAATCAGGAATTGTACCCGTTAGATTGGGGGTGGGGGGCTGACTGATGGGCCACACTGGTGCACAGAGCAGGAAGAGTGGGGCTGGATCAAGGGCACAGTGGCATCTTGGAGGCTCAGGGCCTGTGAGGATGACAACAGTAATCTCCCCTCCTGAAGCCTGGGAGAGGCACTGCCGCTTACACACTTTACTTGCTCTGCCCGGTGTCACAGGAACCTGGTCAGCTGGACCCAGGGCTGGCCTCTGCTAGGTGCCTGCCCACATAGCTGAGTTCTGCCCCTGGGACCCAGGACACGTGGTTCTCTGCCTGGGCAGTCCCAGGCCTGAGTCATGGCCTCACGGCTGCCCGCACGGCTCCCAGGCTGCACAGCCGGTGTTGCAGACGGCGGAGAGGAAGTGACCTCAGTGCCCACAGCTAAATGGAAATAATGCATATTGTGGGTAAAGGGGTGGGAGAGACAGCTGTCGTGAATTCTGACAGCAGAGAAATACTTCACTTATCAGAGATCAGTAATTCTTCGGAAATAACCTTTCCGCATGACGAGATCATCCCTTTCGGTCCAGTGGAAATCCTTCAGAGCCCTGCCCCTTCCCCGTCTTGTTCAGAACACACCCAGCCTGGTCTGTCACGGTGGAGAACTGATACTGTGCTGCCTACTTGGCCAGTGGGGCCCATGGCATCTTTTAGTGGCTGCAGAACCCTGACTTCCAGGCCTTTTGGGGTCTTGGGGTCTCCTCCCCACTCAGGTCAAAGTAACACTTCTGGTTCTAGTTCATGTGTTCCACCAACCCAATAATGGTGATTTCCCATCTGCCAGGGATGGGTATATTGAGCCAGCCCCGGAGCCAGGCAGGAGTGGAGCAAGCCCTGGGGATGTGAAGCTCTGGGACTTCTCCGATGTCCACTTGCGTCCCCATAACTCTGCTGCTTAGAACTTGATAGGTCAGCAGCATGTTTTTCAAGCACACTCAGAAGGAGACAGTTCCAGGGTAGACCTGTCCAAAGGAAAAGGCTCACATCTTCCCTCTTACCTTCCCTCAAACACACCACCTGCAAGCTACCTCCCTTTGCAGTCTTCCTAAGGAGCCAGGGCGGGTGTGTGACTCCAGTGTGAGGTGCTGATCTGGCTGTGTCCCTTGCTCCTTGTCTGTTACTTTCATCCACTGTATGGGGATTGTTGTGGAGCTCTGGCCCAGGGTGCAGTGCCTTGGGTTCTGCTTAACAAGACCCCGTTTGACCTGCACTGAAAGCCTTAGAGGGTTGTTCATGATTTCTACTAACTACAGATGAAGTCAGGCTGTGCACCTGCTAGGGCACTCACTGCAGTACAGAAGTTCATGAGAAAACTGTAGAGAGCTGGTTCAGACTATTTGCAGTAGCTAAAGTATTTTGAACGTATAGTCTTTAAAAGGAACATATACCTTAGTATTTACTAGTTTAAGTGTTTCAGAGTGTCCAGACATATTTTTCCTCTGCCCTTATTCCCCCAGACTTCCACACCGTCATGGGTGCAGGAGGCAACAGCGTCCTTCCCAGGCAGCAGTGATCACTAAGATGTGTTCTACTTATTCAGGGGACACGCCCGCTGTTCCCTAGGATTGCTCTCACATTCCCTAGGATTACCCCTCACATTATTTAAAGAAGTCAATGTGAAAAAAAAAAACCCACAAATTCCTATGAAATCAAACTTTTTGCAGATTTATCAAAATCAACCCGAATTTTTTTAATGTAAAATTCCAACCAACTGTAAAATTGGTTAGCCACCAATTGCAGTCTTTAACAAGACTCCTCTTTTCCAGCTGGTACAGTCTATTCGGGAGTGTTTTCACTTTCATCCACTTAAAAATGTTTCCCCTTGGAAAGTCAGGTTTGCAACACATGCAGTTATTCCTCAAAATGTGTCTAGTAAAATGCTAATAGCAAAATAACGTTTTACTTTTCCTTTGGCAAAGAACTTGTAAAATGAGAGCACCTGTCACTTCCCTTTCCTCCCTCCCATAGTCCTCCCTCAAACAAAGTAACAGCTTGGAGCAGCTAATTCAGAGGGTTCCATGTTGCCCTTTGAAGGCCCCACTCATGCCCTGGGTTTCCATGGGTTACCAAAACTGATCTACTGAAAGAATTGTAATTTGAAAAAAGTTCTTCAGAAAGCCCAGTGATGAAGGCATTTGGGGACCTGGCCTTGTTAAGAATATCTAATTATTCGTGTTAAGCTGTATAAAGAACTGCATTATAATCTTTTTTTTTAATCCATTTTAGGGCTCATTCATTTTCATTGCCAAGTTCACTGAGCCAGAGTTCTTCACTAAGTTCACTTTTTAGCTTATGTCAGGGCCAGCTGGAAGAAGCAGTGCTTGCTCAAAAGTTCCCAGTGCTGGAGGGGGGACTGGGGACAGGGCCCCCAATATGGCAGGGAGGGTGGGGTAAATGCTTGTCAGGGGCCAATGGCCAGGAAAGACTGGCTGTGGATGGCGTGTTTCCTCCTGTTCGGATATACCTGTGAGCAGCCTGCTCCATCTCTGGCCTCTCAGGACTGACTCATCTGTGTTGTGGTTTTCAGCGTTGGATTTTTATCATCTCAGTGTCAGACTGCATTGACCTGCCTCCCCACTCATCGCTCCCATGCACCATTTGGTGCTCGTCAGTTCTTCCCAAACATTTCTGAAAATTCATTCCAACCTCAATAGCCCTGTTCACCTGTGTCCTTCCCTCCCACCCCCACCCCCAAGCAGGGTGGGGTTGAGGAGCCATGAGGTGGGTGCAGCACCATGGGTAAAGAGCCTTTTTCCCGTTCCTAAGGGGTTTCAGCCTCAAGTTAGGGAAGAGAAAACCTGTCTCCCTGGGCTGGTTCTCAATGGATCGGGAGCAGGTGGAGTCCAGTGAGCACGGGTCCCACCGTGGTGGTTGTGTGCCTTGCCAGACTGGTCAGTGATGTGTAACAAAAACCACAGTTGATGCAGGAAGAGCCTCGGGATGGAGGAAGACCTAGCCAACACCCTGGTGAGACCAGAACAAACTGGTGAGATGTCCTCTGCACATCCTCCCCACCTTGCTGTCAGAGGACTTTCTAAAACAACCTTTCACCAAGCCACGTCTTGCTGTTGCCTCCAGAATAAGCCCCCTGTGCTTCATGTATGAGTGCATGTTGCTGGGCATCTGTCCACTCTGCCAGCCTCAAAGTAGTGCTTTCGTGCCTTGTGATGAGGTCCACATCCCTCTTGGGGCTCCTTCCAAGATTCAGTTCATGTGTTGTCACCACTGTGAAGGCTCACAGTCAGGTGGGCAGTTCCTGGGGTATCCTCACCCTGCCCAGGCTTCCGTACGTATTCCTGCCCGTCCCAGGTGTCAGGTGGCATAAGGAGCCCACGGCCTTAGCCCGTCCCACAATAACTGAAGAGCTTACTACCGTGCAGTCCCTTATGCTACGTCGAGCAGGAGCTTCAGAGCACAAGGACACCGGCAAGTCGGCTCACGACAGCCACGTGAGTGGAAGCTGGGCGTGGCGGCCAGCGAGACAATAGCCGAGGAGGGCATCTGCTGCCACACAGCTAAGCAAACTGCTGGCCATCAGCTGGCAGATACCAAGTCTGAACAGTCTGCTTTGCCAAGTTCACTTTTTGACGTGAGATTGTGAAAAACTTCTGCAGAGAAGAAATACTGAGCAGACAGGATCAACAGGACGTTGGAAATGGAGTGTAGGATTGAAAGAAACTTCCAGGGGAGAAAACCACATACTCAGGAAGATGCAGTGAATTGCACCGTTGACTTGGAATCAAAAAGTCTTAAGGGGACAACAGGCTAAAAGGAAAAGACAATAGGATGAAAAGACAATAGGACAAAATAAAGCCGTGGCAACATCTCCACCGCAGGGCAGAACAGATGCTGGAAAGATAGATGGTGCTGTGGGGACACATTTGATGAATTCTTCTGGGGTGCAGAAGAGAGCAACAAAGAGGAGCCATCAGAAGGAAGAGAGCAGAAAGGACAGAGGGCACTTGCACTAGTCTAAGATGGGACGACAGGACTGGGGGGCCCTCCTATTTGAAAAGCAAACGGAACTATGGTTTTCGGACATCAGACACCAGGCGGAGCAGGACGGCGGCCCCTGGAGTGAGACCCCCTGGCCTTGGCCCAGGGAAGGGGAGACCCGGGTGGGACCCAGCAGGCACTGACCTTGAGATGGAACTAATTACGTAGGACGGCCAGAGGAGCTGGGGTTCCCAGGGGAGAGGGCCGCACAGAGAGGCAGTTGTGGAGACCTGCAGTGGGGTCCACTCAGACTGTCCCCTGGATACTGACCAGCTCGTGTGCCTGAGGAAACTGCCTGAGGGTGGGGAAGAGCACCACCCAAAAGGAGACGAGAAAATGACCCCTGGAGTTCATACAAGGCCAGGAACAGGCTACATTCCCAGGAGCCGGAATGGATTTGTGATCCACCCGTGATCCCCGGTGTGGTGCGGAGGGTACTAGCTCAGTAACAAGAAAATAGGCCCTAACGGCTGCCCTGGTCCCACCCAAGTATCTTAAAAGCGAGCCTTCAAGGGAT